GTGGAACCCATTTGTCATCTATGCTCAGCTCGAGATGCTCTTCAGACGTCATTTGCCACTGAATGTCGCCACTAATGGTAGATGATATCCAATGAAATCTATTCCAGCCCTCGTCTGGAGGAACATGTTCACTGTTGACCCGTGGCTGCACGGACTTCGAACCTTCTTGGAGTTTACATACTGCAGCCAAATATTCTACGTAAAATGCACGAACGTAAATAAGCGTGAATGCAATCCAAATATAATTCCTGGCTGCTTCTCCATGTCTGATTAAACTATATTACCATTGACTCCTAATTAAGTAGAAAAGCAACTTCTTATTTTCAACGTTCCTGATATGTCCACAAATAATACAAACGTTGGCGCTCGAATAGTTAGATACATGCTTTTGCGGGTGCGTGGTGATGATAACTGTTCTGTTGAATCACCAAATGTAGTAATGTGCTTCATAAATCACACAGAAATAGCGTTAGAAGACTTTAAACTAACTCTCCATTAATTACTATGACGAGTTGATGTTTATGATAGGTCAAACAAGTTTTCAGCACCTCGACCGACCCGTTACAACGGTATGATAAAATGTGTATTGTCCGTTGCCATCATATTACAATTGATGGGCCACTACTGAGATTGTTAAGGACTGACTGTGTGCGTGAAAGCTCCTGCACTGTTGCTACGCGGAACAGTCGTGTATGTGAAAAGACGCATCACGATGGGAGAGAGAGAGAGAGAGAGAGAGAGAGAGAGAGAGAGAGAGAGAGAGAGAGAGAGAGAGAGAGAGAGAGAGAGAGAGAGAGAGAGAGAGAGAGAAAGAGAGAGAGAGAGAGCGAAAGAGAGAGCGAAAGAGAGAGAGAGAGAGAGAGAGAGAGAGAGAGAGAGAGAGAGAGAGAGAGAGAGGGAGCGAGAGATGCATCTATATGAATAGTTCGGTAACGGGCGCGTCGGTATTACCTAGAAGTGTCATTATATCAATAACACCCTGCCCGACCACATCTGGTATAATCTCCCGGCATTGCACAAATGCAAGCATGTTGAAAACGAGGTTCCCAATATGCAGACTTGTCACTTGTTGTCACAAATTGTAACTTGTCGCCCATGTAGCATGAGAGGGGCATACAGCTTTCACAAGTGCTCTGCAGGTTGAATCCAAGCCGCCCGGCACGCGAGCAATCGGTGACTCATTTGGATTAGCGTTCCACTTCGATGAACTATAAACCACTGTAAGCCCAACTGTTATATCTGAGCAGTGTCGGCTGCCTATCAGTTATGGCGTGAGGGCGTATCTCGAGTCTGGTAACAGGCTGTGAGTGATTGGTGACAGGTCTGGATTCTGCCCCAACACCGTCGGGCGGCGCGCCTCAACCGCTCTGATGCGCATCGCTCTAAACACGGTTTGGTGACGCCCGAGACACAAGGTTTATGGAAAGGCTGCATAGTAGACTGGTTAGCCATGGACTGTCAGTTTAATGTTTCTGTGTCAGGTAAAGTGCTACATGTAATTTGTGCATTCAGCCGGATAACCACAGGCAGCTGTTTTGACGTTGGCCCTCTCGTGATGCACTCCAGTGTGGCGGTGTGAAGGTTCCAAGGCCGTGCCGCGGTGTGGACTGTGGACTGACCCGCCGGGGCCGCTGCCGGTCCGGTCCGAGGAAGCAGCGCTCCCGCAGCCGCCGCCATGAATAATGCACCCGCCCGGCCGCCGCCATCCTCCCGATGACAGGTCAAGATGTCGCACGCACGTCAGCCGGCCGAGCCAGCCCCGCGCGCCCAATCACTTATTGGTACTGACGTTATGCAAAGTAAACGTATGGTTATTAAGTGCCCTTCTGTTATCCGTCGCATCGGATTTCGAGAGCGTTTCTTGGTAACCTTGCATGGCTCACGCCACTGACTTGCGGACCATGGGCCCCGAAGCAACTTCGAGCACGAGAATCAGTGTCATGACACAGTTATTACGTGCATGGCTTTGGATTGCCTGTCGCAAAGAACAGCTGGGACTCAGAGGCAAATGAACACCGGTAATTACTGGATACCACTAGAAAACTGTCGGTGAAATGGACCCAGATTGAATAAGGCTGAACAGTGCTGAGTTGCTAGTTTGTTTATGATCGGGAGGCACGCGAACAGAATAGCCGCCATCTAGGTAACCGCTCTCCTCGCTCTGATGAGACAGCGGATTAGCAAGCCTAACTTACATACCTATACTTACGGCGATGTAAGCAAGCGTCCCTTTTCTTTATTGGTCATTTTATTTCATAATTATTCAGATAAAAGTCAAGTGTCCATGAGATCACTTTCTGTGAGCCGTGTCTGTCATTCCAAAAATATTCCTTCAGCAGAAAAGGGGTATTTATCCACGCATCATAAGTAATGTTACCATCAGATGTGCCTCATTATGGTTACGTTTGTTACGCTAGTTTTAACTCTTTGTCACGCAGCTGTGAAGCGTAAATGAAATATGTTTTGTTGTTCATTGTACTCAAGTAATCTACACATTTCATCTACAGGCTGTAGAAGCACTCCCGAAAGGAAAAAAATGCGTATGATTATTTTTTTCGCAAAGTTCACACCTACATACTAAATAAGGGTTAAACGCCAAGTCGGTAGGATTCCCCCTTCCCTTCTTCCATGACAACGCACTTTACACTGAAGAGCTGCCGACAAACAAGTTAAAAAAGGTAGGATGTTGTATTTCAGTAATTACCAATATTTCAAGGAAGTGCTCTCGGATCAAAGATGCTGAATATGGATCACCGTGCCGGAACCGGGTACATACCAGAAGTGAGGCTCGATCCTCTCGAGGCATTTTAACCCGCGCCCCACTGGGGGGGGGGGGGGCTATTTATAGCCCCCCCTCCCGTTTTTCGACAATAACTTCCAAACCGCTTGACGGATCGACGCCAAACTTTCAGTACCTTCGGCTGCATCAATTTGACACCTTGTGTCAAAATTTGAACTTCGTAGCTACCATAGGTCGGCCGGAAATGACGTCAGAGTGACGTCATGTTCGTCCGATTTCGACGCAAAACATTGAACCACGGCAATCGCTCCCAAGAGCTCAGTTTTTAAGCTAGATCCAATTTCTTTGCATGAAAGAACTCAGAATTGACCGCGCTATCAAACTGCTATCTCGGATTTTCAAAATTTTGAAAATTTCGAAAATTTTATATAATAATATTCAAAATTTATATTTTTATATTTTTTTTCAAAAAGTTTTTGACTTTTCGAAAAAACCGGAATATATGTGACAGAACGCATGATTATGACTAACTCTAGCAAGTTTTAGCTAAATATCTTCAAAAATGGCCAAGTTATACGCATTATTGCAAAAAATTCACAATTATTAATTTTTCAAATCAATTTTTCAGTACGTATTTGGCATCGTACACCAATATCAATGGCACCATCGTGTTCCTGAGCTCAAACTGCATCCAATAGACACCTTTTTTTGTTGAAAAATTTCAACTTCAAAATTTGACCTTTTTTGACCTGAAGGTGACCTGACCTAAGCTAAATTCGACTCAAAATGACCTCGAATGACATAGACGACATCAAATTCGAAATCTATTGCCTAAATGGACCATAAAACATGTGTCACGTGACCGACGCATGATATAATATTTTCGTGACCTGTGATGACCTGACCCTGACCTGAAAATCAAAGTACAAGTTTGGTACCCTCAAGGTATCTAGAGCATCTGTTCACGAGTGTGGAAACCAAAAATGAGCCTGATCTGACATATAAGACGGCGGCCAGAGCCCAAAATGTGAACAAGCCAGAGTGCTAATAATTTTTACTTTGACCTGACCTGTGACGTCATCGGTGACCTCGAGGTCAATGAAATTAGGTTTAGCTCGACAGTTTTTCCGGGGCTATCAGACGCCGTTTGAATTTTGACGATCGGCCCAGTAGTTTCGGAGTTAGGAGGGGGGGCTATGAATAGCCCCCCCCCCCCAGTAGGGCGTGTTATACACAGACCCCAGTGGGGCGCGGGTTAATTTGATAGGAGTGATCCCTGGAATGTAAGTGAAGTTGACATGTGAACATTGCTCGAACCCTTTTTTGGGTGTATGCTGATGCAATTATATAGAAGCCAGAGCTGAGACAGATATTTCAATGAATATTCAAATAGACAGACTATCTGATAAGAAACTGTCATTTGTCTCACAAACAGCACACACCGCTCGACGCTCGTTCCTACTTACACATCGGAACATCGGGACATCGGGGCATCAAACGGCTTTTTGTTATTCGTACATATTCACTAGTACATGAGAAAACAATGGCGACTTTCTCTTTTGTTTCATTATTTTCAATTCGTAGGTACAGTGGGGAGTGGACACGACCTTACGTTCCCGGTATAGGCTAAACAAATGAATATCATTTAATATTCTTGGTCTCAAAGGCTAGTACCTAAGTGTGTCATTTCCGTGCCGCCTTGCAAAGGTGCTCGTCAAGGCAACCATATTTGGCCCAAAGTCAGCCCACATTTAGCCCAGATACGGACTGCCTTTGCTCCACTTAGAACTCGCGCACAACAGAGCCCTTGTTGAGTGGAATATGTCGCCCAAAGCATTCGGCGTCACTCACAGTCGTTTGACCTACAGAGGTCAACAAACGTCACGATCCCGGGCAATATGACCCACCCAGCGGAGCAAGACCGCTGAAAATGGGACAAAAAAACTCGCCAGGAACTGAAGCTTCGTTCTCACTATCAATTTTACTACTAAAGGGCACGCGATGACCTCAGGTCACTTACAGGTCAGGTAAAAACAAATCTTGCACAGGCTACGGTACACGGCCATTCGGATTCGGCGAATATCCATGGCATCAAACCGGAATGCCAGAAAGAACCCCTTTTTGCATGGGGCCAGATTTATGTCTTCTATACTCAAATGACCTACAGAAGTGAAAATTAAATATTACTCAAGAGTGCTCACTTATGATCAGAGCTGGGGCCGCGTTGGTGGCTGGCCAGGCGCCACCCCGGGGTACTTACATCCAGGAGCCTGTTCTGGAGGCGACTGAGCTGGCCACCGCCAGCAGCAGCAGCTGCAGCAGCAGTAGCCAGTCGGCGAGCCGTGGTGGCATCCTGTCCTGAGGGGCGGCGGCACCCGGGTCCGACGGGTCCACTCACAGCTGCGAGCTCCGTCACTCACAGCGGCTCACTCTGACCACTCATGCAGAGGCAAAATCTGCTATCTTTGTCCAGATGACAGTCACCTGGCCTGTCAGACGACAGCAAACAGTCGGCTTCAGCGGAAAGGATAGGCACAGCCACCCTGCCGTCTCGGACACTGGATCCTTACAACAATCCCGTACGCTTTGCTGACGCAGATCCCTCCCTGTTGGAAACTTTAGAGGGGTACGGCTTCCTCGGCCTTTCTTCCTCGGGAAATCCTCTTCCTGTAAGTTCACTTTCTTTCCCTGTCACCGTCCAGGCCTTTGGCACTTCACCGTATGGTCATCACCGTTCACCTTCCCTAATTATCACGATAAGACGGTCAGCCAGCTGGTTGACAGAAACTTTACCTCACAAACCAGCCACATCAAGCTCCCGGGTCTCTGTGGGTCTTTAGTCAGTCCACCGTCCACTGTCAGCTCCAGTCCCCGTCAGCGTGCACAACTGAACCAGCGTGGACCAGCGCCCGCGGCCGTACCAACTGCAGACCTCCCGTACGATCACCGCTGTATACTGCTGCAGAACACGGCGCTCGACATGAGAACAGAGCGCCGCTCCGGCCGGCCGCAGTCGCGCACGCTCATTGGCTGCCGGCTGGAGGAGAATGCACTCTGATTGGTTGGAGGGTCTCGGTAGTAACGGGAGCTTGCTACCTTTCCCGAGCGGCAAGCTAATTGGTGATCGTAATTGGATGTTCAGGCTAAGGCCGTGCTTGGCAAAGTGCTCAGTGCAGAGGTCATAATCGTATCGTTTGGGAATGGGCTCGCATGAGCTACTGAGTGGAAGTCGTTAGAGGCATGTGAGTCTGAATTCATGAATGGGAGATGAAGAGATAGATGCCGGAAACGATTGCGATCCACGCACTCGTTTAGTCATCCACAATGCTCGTAGGTCATTCCACCTTCAGCCATCTTTGCAGACAGCTTCTAAAATACTGAGCGAATAGATAGGAAACGAACTGGAAACGAACATCAAAGAGAGGAATGAAACTTATTACTATGGTGATTCTTTCAGGTTAATTCATCATGATTGGATATTAAAGTTTTTGCAATATTGTACTTCTCACGATCGTTTTGATTTCCGAGGCGATTTTTGCCCCATCCCTGTCGCGGAATCTCGCTTTTCATAAAGTAAGCACCCTGTGTTGCATCATTCCCAATGCCCACAGAGAGAAGACAGGACAGGGGTATGGTCCGAGTGGTCACTGGTCAGCACTGCCCTGCAAAAGCAGATTCGTCCCGTGTTGCATCACATTTGAGAGGTAATTGGTCAACGTCAGCCGGCGATGATTTGTGTCGGTCGCTGTTGAACAGGAACTGAATCTCGCATCAGGCATTCCCTAGCCTGCCGTGTTTGGTCCGCTCTGAATGCGATTCCCATTGCGCCGGTACCTGGGGCCCCGCTGGCGCCGCGCCGGGCCGCGCGCGGTGGCGGCTCGCGGAAGTGCCTCTCGTCTCGTGGCCGGTTGCACGGCGAAATTGATACGGACTTGAGCGGTCGTCCGTTGATGGATGGCAGGCCCAGTATCGCCGCCATCGGTCGCCGGCCGCCCGGCCCAGGCCGCACAGAATGGAGATGCCGATTGACAGGCGTGCCATGTTCGTTCAGCCGATACAAGCCGGGCAGGGCACGAGCGCATACGGCCGCGCTCCAATGAGGTGCCCAGAGGGGCTGCCGGTGACCGCCGGCCTCAGAACGACAGCACAGTTACGGCTCGAACGGCACGGGCGCAATTTAAACTGGAGCAGCCGCTAATAGCCCGACGACCGACGGGGAGTGTTTGTTCAACACTTTATCAGAATGCAATTGTATACAACGGATTGGCAAATCACCCAGCTGGTTAATTGGGCTGATCTATACTTCTGCACAAGTTTGCTTATTTGTATGTAAGATCAGCCAACTAACGGCAATGGGCTTAATCATCAAAATTGTCAAGCAAATAATCGTACCTACCAATACAGTCAGCTTTGCCTGAGGTAAGCCTAATATATAGAAAGCGTAGACTAGGTCTTGGACACCAATTGCTTAATTTCGGAAATTCCAGACGGGCATTGCATTCGCCATTCAGCATTATCTGTTTTTCTTTCAAACAGAGCCGTTTACATGTCATGGCGGCTTGGGACCGTGGCTCAGTTTAGCCTCGGTCGGAAAAGACGGCCAACCGTTCCATTACCGATGTCTTCTCGTGATAAACATGTTATTCGCTCCATAAAATGTTTATGTACCATTTATGCTATGTCCCATAAGTGTAATGATTTGTTCATATTAGCATAGGTACACGCAACTGTCCGACGAATAAATTCAGATCATGGCTATGATGCACTTTGGAAGGAGACACATCACCACATTTTATAGGTACCTACCTACTTACCTACTAGAAGTACAATATCTAAGTACCTTCTAGAAGTGCTTCTGTAGTTTAGCCAACGCGCTGTTTCCATCCATGCTCGCGTGTAACAAAACTCGTCTGATTACATGATATCAATAAATTACTGCCTATTTGTTGCTTCCCCTTCGCCCCGAGATGTGCTGATGTATATCGAATTAGAAGCGCAATGAATGAGTATTTGAGCTTGGAATGCTTGATTTATTGCTTTGAATTATACGGAAACCGAGAGCACTGACCGGTTGACGGGCGGTCGAATCCATGGTCTGGAGACCTAGGATTCAGATGGAAATAATTGCAGCATTGATGCAAATAATATACCTCGAGAAGTTAATTGGCCCATTTGGAGTGTTCATTGATGTATGTGCATTCTGCAGTTTATTCGATTTATTGTTACTCTTAGGCAAATGCGTCATCTCTGATCTCAGCGGCATTTGCTACGCTTCCTGGCGAAGCGTCCCGCCTTGTTTGAAATGCACCGATGAGCGCATTCGAACCCGCTACCGAATATCGTTGTGACCCTTGTGGCTGTATATCCAAAGGTCATGTAAGAAGTTGGATTCCTAGTAGACTGTAGGATGGTAGGACGCGTTTCGAACTGAGAAGCCTGTCCGCTCTCTCCAGCGCTGATACATTTCGGCTCATTCAAACGGCTTTGAACCGAATAATGACGGACACAGCAAACCGAATGCTCGAGGCGATCTGACTTTGTATCCCGGCGGTGCTTAGTAGGTAACTCCTCACTACCTCCGTGCTTGGGAACTATTGGCGTGTGAGGGGACCAGTGACCACCGGAGGGCGCTCATCCCTTCTACCCCGCCTCGCTCGTCACTCCTCGTCACCAGCGATCAGAGAGTGGGCATAAGTGAACAGTGCATGTTGGATAATCGCCCCTGAGCACCGGGCATTATCACGAACAATACCGGTGATATGGGACTCTCCGAATAGAGCAGTGGCAGCGCCACCTGTATCTGCAGTGGTCGGTGCGGACAGGGGCCTGCTGCCGGCAACCATGCCCATCTCACAGAGGGCGTGGGTAGCTGCCGCCGATTCCCCCCTAATCTACTGCTGAAGTGTAACCCCAGTAGCACTGGACCAAAATTCAGCCACTTTATAGCTACATCCAAACAGTTTCCCGTGCAGCTCTCAAACAAATCGAACTGCACACTCATCGCTGCCTTTGAAAACCTATTGCGTTTTAAGCCAGGGAAGTTTCTGTTTCTTGCATAGCTAGATCAACCTGCATATGGACTCAGGGCCTCCTCTAACATGTTAACTGGGGGGGCCGCGGCCCCCCCCAGTGATGCCGCTGGCCCCCCCAGTGGAGCTGAAATCGCGTCACTGGGGGGGCCACACAGTTAAACCAATAATGTAGAAAAATGAGGAAATTTCACTAATAGCGTACCACACAAACAATCCAGATTCCAGACTATCTCCACGATCACCACGTTACTAATTTTAGTTTTCTTATACCTACCGTTGTTTTTTATCTTCAAAGAACATTTCACATCCGCATGTTGCCTAAGATGAGCCATGGAATGAGGTCAGACAATGCAGTTTTATAATCGAACACCGACTGAAGCCCGAACGGGGCGTGGCCATTGATGAATTCCTTTGAGAAGGAAGCGTCCCGGAAGGTCGCCCTCTCAATCAGTCAAACGCTCACGCTTATACACGGAGAAGGACTATTTTATTCGGGAGACGGGTTCATTCTTGAAGAGGAAATCCTGCTACGGTCAAATGAGAACGCGGCGGAGCACGGGAAAAGTTTTTATTCCCCGGTGTTTGGGACTGGAAGCAATAAGCCCTCACACTTATTGAGGGGTTAGCCGTTAGATGGACCCACCCCTAGGGTTTTCGTAAATAACTCACGTAAAAAGTGGCCCAGCGTGGCAAAACTTTTAGTATTCTTGTGATTATCAATTGGCTGCACATTTCCTGAAATGACCCTGGTCCCTAGCCTTCATTACTATTGACCTGTGGCCTGTTTCTTAAGTCATTTTCAGGCAGGTAGCTTTTTAGGATAGTGAGCTGTTTTCAGGCAGGAAGCTGTTGGTTAATGGATTCCAGTGTTAGTGGGAAAGATTGACCCTCACACTTTTAGCGGTTGGTTAGATTCCTGACGCACTGCGTGCCGTTTAATACAATTTTTCTATAATATAGGGATTTTGTTTTATTCTCTAAAGTCGAAAAGCCAGAAATTTTCGTCGATTTCGGACGTTGCCGGGATCGTTAGGTACCTAAAATGTGACCCTGCCGCCTGGATCCACCAGTAGGGTGACGTAGCCTACCATTTCTTGAATATTTTTTTTTTCAAATTTAAAATGAAAATCATGGTATCAGGGCTGTGACGAAAAATAAGTGGCCTAAATCCGATGAGAAAACTGGACTTGGGGGTACCCTAGGTTTGACTTCTGAGCCTCTGGCCCCCCCAGTGAAAATTCCTTAGAGGAGGCCCTGTAATGGACTTAAGAGGAGTCCGGTATAACGCCCATTGAAACACTTGGCCGGATCCCACTCAGCATGTATTCTACATAAATGAGCGGTCCAATATCCAGGCAGATATGCCGACAGCATGAGAATGACCGCCTTCGAGATAGGTGGTTTGTCCTCCTCACTACAGCATGTCAGTCTTTTTATGAACACACGCCTGCTGCTTCAATAAACTTGTGTCAACAGAAAAATATAACGAGTCATAGCACCAGCACTCATGACTTATTCTGCGTAATAAACACGAAACCAGTCCAATTATGCTCAGTGATGTTATTATCAGCGTCTTTCTACATAGATATTAAATACAATACCTATCAAAACACCTCTTCCAATAACAGCATTCATTGAGCCCGCTAGATAATTCAGAGTTGATGCTAAGTTCTTGACGCAAAGGGTACAGACCGCATACGTATTGGTGTAGGAGCACAAAACAGAGCGGGTGTGCACGATGCTGCAAAGAGTGAGATAAAGACGACATTGTGCATTACATGGCCCGCCTATCCAGGTGGGAAGTGCCACCAAACAGTGCAGCTGCAGCGCCTGTGACTATAGGGGTCCGGTCAGCGGACTATACGAAGAATGGAAACACGAGGGGGTGCCGGGAAACAGTCACACTACACACGGAGACAACATTAGGTGGGGCTGATA